TACAAGCACACGTGCTACCGGTACACACGCAGGAGACTTTCTGAAAGGACTCTCCGCGCCGATGGTATCGCGTTCCCCGTCGCGATTATCCATTATGAACTTAATCATAAAGTAATGAGGATAATTCCTCCTCGGCGAACTTATGAAATGTTTACGTTCGTCCGAAGAAAGAAAGAAAGAACCAAGTTGGACTTATCTTACAGCTGATGTCAATTTCTAGGAGCAATTATATCGTTATGCGAATCCTGGCGGGAGGATGAGAAGATTAATCAGTAAGTCTTGAGATGGTATCCTATCAATTCGATACTTTGCCCAACGTTTGGTTGTCTTTTTGTTTGGAGGAAGAGTTTGTTTTATTTGAAGTGGATTGGTGGGAAATTGTTGGGAGTGTTATGATAGGAATAGTAAAAATGAAAATAGAGTTTTACGCGATGGACTTTCAATTATTGACAAAAGGGTATTTTAAAGGAGCTTGGTTAAACGAGGAAAAGCGAAAACTATCCATATAAATTGAATTTTAATTAGAATTTATTATAAATGATAAAGTCAAGTCTCATTTTGTTAATGGAATATAATAGAAGAGCTTTTAAGAAAGTAAAGTATTCTAGAGTATCGCAATAGAGTACAACACCCATCAACAGTCTCATTCATTTAAATTGAATTTTAATTAGAATTTATTATAAATGATAAAGTCAAGCTTCATTTTGCTAATAGAATATAATAGAAGAGCTTTTAAGAAAGTAAAGTATTCTAGAGTATCGCAACAGGAGCCAGGAGCCAAGATGGGCAATAAATATAACAGAACCGACACAGTATACACAAGACAGCAATTTACCATCCCACTTAAGTACTAGATGCAGGAAGAGATGTATTGTAATAAAAAAGAAAGAACATTCAGGATTAGGAGGAACGTGCTACCACGAGCCACGAGTAAGTAGAATGTACACAGCGTCGAGTGACTCTGCTTTAGGAAGGCTGGCCATAACGTCTGACCCAGCACGAATCGCAAGGCCTATTCCCCTTTACAGAATACCCTGGCACGCGCAAGTGGCACTTGTTTGGTTTAGAAAACGCAGATTCAAACGCGAATACAATTTCATAACAAATTCCTATTATATCCCGCTTTATAACTTATTCAAAATTAAGCAGAGGGAATAAATTAACGAAAAGAACATTTAAAATGATCTACCGACTCTTTAACTAAATCCTTAACACGCAATGCAATTTGCGTTTCATTTAAACTGGAAAAAATTAAACGCTCCATCTCATAATGTGCATAATTACGTAATGTCAATTCATTTCTGTTCTGCGTTCATTAAGCGTCTGGTAATTAATGGTCGGGACGGTGCAGTTGATTTTCATTAGGAACGATTACAAGGTGGTACCTTTGTCTGCAAAAGTTAATCTTCAAGAGAATTCGTGAATTAATGAAAGAATCGAGACTTGCTTACTAATAGGGTCGAAAATAATAAAAATCTCTCTCTCAACCTTATAAATTAAATAGCTATTAAATTTCGTCCCAGGAAGAATTCACCGTGTAAATACGCACAGATCGAGCTTCCTCTGTTTCATACGTGTCGCTGCTCCGTACCATGCGACACTTATCCACTTTTTACTCTAGACTCCGTCTACGCCAATAAATAACAAAAACAACATAAAATTTTAATTATGAAAAATCGTACGTTTTACTTCAATTAAGGGCGATTAAAAAATGGGAGCATTACTCTTAGAGGATCGTCTTCAAGGTGGTCTATATTTGAGCTGAGAAATTCCTCAGTTTCCCATCGAACACGATACTTTGCACGTAATAAGGGGCTAGTGCTCTGCTCATTTCTCAGGAACGCAAAATATTACGTGTTTCGAATGGTAATTGAACCTATCTGCCGTGAGCATAGCGATATACACATCTTACGTTATTAATCTGTAACGACGGCTTTCACCGCGACCGAAAGAAAAGAAAAATGGATTTAGTTTCGTGCGTGGAAACCGGAACTCGGAAGCGTATTTTGTGGATTTATAGGTTCTGACGTGCGTGACGTTGCCAAGACACACTGTGGAAGTGTGTTCCTTTCATCGTGAGATGCAACGCAATGTCGACCATGGGAACCCCGTTTCTTTATGTTTAATTAATCGCAGACATAATTATATTGTTCGGTGGAGTCATATTGTTTTAGCGTTTAAAATGCGGTTTACGTCATACCTGTGGTGTCACTGAAAATGGGTCAGCGGTTTTTCAAATTTTTAAACGCACTTGGCAAAAAATAAACAACGTTTGGTTAACGTTTAACGAATTCTGTGCCCTTTTAAAATAACCTTACCATTTATTTATAAAGAAACGAACAGTACAATGTTTAACTTTACCTCTGTCACACATTCCAAAAGTGCACGTATAGTTGTAAAAGAAAAAATGGGATTCTAACAGAATTAATTTGGAAGATTCAAACAGAAAAATGTAACATAAATATCTTGCTCTGATTCTTCAAAATACTAAAATATTATAAATGAATAAATAACGTGTTTCTATTTTATTGTCAATGTTCCATAACGTGGTTATTATCAAAAATGTACAAATCAGAACATTCTATAATTTGTTTATAATGCATTTAGAGAAATAGATGGTTTATCGGTTCAATGAGCAACTCAATTCTCAAAACAATTTCCTGAAATCGAGTTGCTTATTGAACCAAACAACCACCGATTCATATAATTGCATTATTAAAACATTGTAGAACGTTTCGTTTCACACATTTTTCAGAACTATTCAAGATTACCTATTCAATTACATAACTGATTAAGAAACCACAACGATAGATTACGTTACTATATGACAAGCACGTATTTTTAAACAAATGCGAAGGATGTGATTTTATAAACAAAAAAATTCGTTACGAAACGAATACTAATCATTTTACAAACGATTTAACGAGTTTCTAAAAACAAGATTCTTATTTCCAAAAGTTTCGAAGAACTCAACTGATACGAGAAAAGAAAATTCACAAACTATTTACCTACGTTACCGCAAAAAGCCAAAATCTCATTGTATCTGTTATCTTGGGTTTCACAGATCTTTCTGGATCGACACGGGCGAGAAATTTCCATAGAAATACCTCTTGTGCAATCGAAGGAGATCGTAATCCATGCATCGAAGGCGATATTGCTCTAATTATAGATCGGAAGTACCGTGTAACTTCACGATTTCCCATTCTAACAAACTTTGCCTCGGTCCTTCCTTTTAGAACAATGAACTTTTTAATCCACATCGTAGTTCGGAAGAATGACAATGAAACTCGAGAAAAGAAGGAAAAGCCTGGAATAAATCGAACTAACTAGAGAAAAGAAACGTAGGAAATCACATATAGGGATCGACCTGAAATTGATCTAACTATAAAAAAAAAAGGAGCACAGGAAGCTTTCGCAGGTTGGAGACGTGTTTACGTTGAACTGCGTTTATATTATTAATATCGTATATATTCTCATAATTTGGCGGTACATAATGTTTTAAAATTGTATATACGTTTAAGGTCCTTGAGGTCGATAATACATTCAAATTCGAGAAATTGAAGGTTTTCTTGTGCGCTTCGAAGGACGTGGAACGTAACTGAGGAACATGCCGCACTATTTACTACTATGTATATTCCATTTTGTTGTTATTTTTGTTTCTTTATAATACGTAACATTCTTACGATATATACATAACACTTCTTGTTCTCCCCAACAAATTTGAGTTCAGTGAGATCTATATCTACGACGAAACTAATACACGCGAACATGGTTCAAGAACGTAATAACAAGTTGCGAAAAGTCCCGCGGAAAAGGAACGGCTGGAAACGTATGATTAAAAACAAAGGAAATGCGAACAGACACAGAAATCCAGCTGAAACGATCTTGAGAAACATCGATACCATCTGTACAAATTATAGAACGACCCGCTCGCGATCGGATACGATCGGGTTGGTCTTCCATCTGATTGTACTCTATCATTTGTCGTCAACGTCCAAATTATATCGCTGGGAAACGTGTAAACGGCGCGCATTGTACAATTCGACTGTCTTACGCTATACGCCTTAAAGGGTGGAATGAACTATCAAATATTCCTTACACGATTGCTTATCACTAACGATACGATACTCGCCATCCTTTAGCTACATTTCTCCCAAAATCATCGAAATCGCTCTCGCTACAAAGTTATTCTTCTTTGTGATAAAAACACTCGTCCTTGTTATTACTATTCAAATAAAATGGATAAATGACAAATAAGGGGTAGATTACTTTTAAATCTGTTTGTTGGGTGAAAGTTCAAGTTTGAATTGGAGGATTACCTTAAAGTAAAACAAGTTTACCATCATTGTGCGATATCTTGTTCGAGGTAATAGTTTCATAGGTGGTTCAAATTTTACGTATTATATTAATTAGCTACACTTTGGGCAAAACTATTACATCATTAAAAAAGCACTGGATATTTGTTATGCCTCAATCATCGAGTTTATTTCTAAAAACCTCCCTGTTTAAAAACAAATGTTTTCAATGACGGAAATTCAATAATCGTTCAAATAAACAGGGGTGTTCATCGCGTTCTTCGTATTTGATTTCGTCCGTATTTAAAAACATGTTTACATCGACTCTATTTAAAAACGTATTCTCAAAGTTTCGCCCAAAACAGTGTAACACATCGCTCGCCACCTTTTACTCGAGCAATATTAACAATCACCCATTTCTAAGTAAAACTCTAAATCTCGACAATCTTTACTTTACGCACAATAAAACCCCCCAATTCAAACCTCATCTACACATTTTTGATTTGGCAAATCCCATCCCGATCTACGCAACATCCAAAGCCCCGACGAACACGTTACAAACGAGTACAAACGAATACCTGCTCACCGGGAGGAATAATCCTTCGTCCACCGATCTCGCGTATCAATCATCCCTTAATCTATCGTAAGAAAATCGGTCAGTATTCGGATCTATCGAATCGTGAACCGATATATACAAGTACGTACGTGCGAATGTATTCGATCCTGGTCGAACCGGTACCCCAACTTCCTCGTATTCCTATGGCAATTACTTAAGAATACGAAAAAGCACACATCACCCGTGACCAGAAGTCTCCCGTCCTCGGTAGGGTGTATATCACTGATTCGCGTAAACGCGAGACCGTCGAAATGAACGTGGCTGTATCGTGTACAGTGGTTACGCTGATAACACCAGGTAGAGTCACCGGGTGGATTATCAGAGATCCGTAGAGAGCGCGCGCGGGAGGACGTCGGTCGAAGGGCCGCGTCGCGAATGAAACGTAGGACGATACTGAGGAGCCGTCGGCTAGGTATGCAAACCTCATACCGCGCAAGGATCACTCGATCCTCGCCTCTTTGTCCATCGACTGTCACGGCCCGGCTATCTCTATTCCTCTTCCATTCACGCTTCCAACTATTATCCCGTCTCGCTTACGCTTCGTGCACGCTCACTTCCTCGCTTTCTCGCTTCCTCGCTTCCTCGTTAGCCGATCCTCCCCCGGTGATGTTAACCCGCTCCTCTTCGTCCCCTAACCCCTTGCATAGCCCACAGCTGGTGGCTAGGTGTATCGGGCGAACCTAGCCGAGGACGAGCGCACGCGCTTTACGCGCTGCTTACCTTTTACCATCTTCCAGTACTCGCACCCACTCTGCTCTCACCATCTTCCCTCGGTTCTGCCCCCCTCCCGAAACCGCCGCTTCCTCTGTCTGTCTCCCTCGAAAATTTTTTCCAACGCCGGCGAACCCTCCTTCTTGGTCATCTTCCTCCTATGTGACCCGATCCTATCTCTAGTGCTTTCTCTTTCTTCTGCTACCAGAGACAGTTTCAGTTTCGTTTCTACACAGACGTCGCGGTGCCACGACGCTCCTCTTGCCCGCGGTCGTCGTCTCGCCGTCTTCCTTTTAGTTTTAACCCAGCTTAATTCGTCCCTGTCTCGCGCCACCCCCAACAGGATAAACCAGGTTCCTGGTTTGATCGAAGAAAGAAAATTGCGCTTTTTGAAAAGCTGAGAAGCGGTGCGACCGACGCGAGTTTTCTCTTATATGCGGTTGCGTTTGTGGCCGAGATAAGGAGAGAGATTTCATTCTTAATGTGTAGCTTATATATTAACACCATAATATCGAAAATCTTTTTCAATCGTACGCTTTTGCTTGAAAGAAACATTTGCATCGTTTACACATGAACTCGGAGAGAATTCTTCTTTAGTTTAACGTAAGCTTCAAGTGTATCTATATTTATAGATTCTGAGTATGATCTTAAAAACAGAGTCGAAACAACAACCCCTTTTTTGAAATTAATTTTCCATCGACCTCGGTCGTTTTCTTCTCGAATGCTACCCTTCGCCGTTAACACCTTTTAATTCTGTCCACTTTCAATTTTAAATATTTCCGACACCAACATTGACAAACAGTGATTATTTGAATGTCCTGTGCGATGCACTTGTCACCGAAAGATTCCATCCAACAAACCGGGAGCCTGGCTTGATAGTTGTTGCGACGCTGTAGCGCTTTCCTTCCGTCTGACCTTTTCATATCGGAGACGACAGCGCGACTTTCGTTACGGAGGATTCCACCTTTTAATTACCATCCGACCTCTCGTACGACGCTTTTTAGGCTCTCTTAATTGCCCGGCCGTTCCTCGTGCCTCCTACGTAAATTAATTTCGCGCCCGTTTCGTCGTGAACTCGCAAAGTTTTTCTATCAAACTTTTCTGCTCGGTTATTTGTCGCTTTTTGTTGCGATGAATCTGCGTCAAAACGAAGAAACTGATTATAAGATATCGGGGCCGCGCTGCGGGATCCTCGTGTTTTAAATGGGTGCTTCTGTTACTTCGAAAGAAAGTAAACAGGGTGCGTGATATACAGTTCGCGAGAGTATTCGTACTGTCTTCAACTGTTGACTTTGGATAAATGAATCTTCTTTAAGATAAATGTGTATTGAATTAAATATGCGACGTATTCGCGGAGCTTTCGATTTATGTACGATTTTAATTTAAGGATATCGTAATTCTGTGATTAAATTAGTTCTGGCTATTATCAAATTTATTGATGTTTCTTAAAGAATTTTATTTGTAATGGAGTAGTATCGTCATTGCTAATACTTATTACCCTGATATTGTGCACTTTAGCCAACTAGCTAATAGATGCTCAGGAATTTGAGGGTATTTTGTGTATTTTAATCTTGATTCTGATTTTATTATTTTCGTTAATAAAACAAACCATACTGAATTTGAACACCTGTCACGTGGTAGCATGAGTGTATATGAATGTATAACTTTCACAGATAAAAACATTTTATAATATCAATCGAAAGCTTAATTAATCCAACGAATATATTTGTTCCAATAAGGTATGAATCACTCGAACCAGGTGAAGCAGTACGAATACTTCTGTGAGTCACTGTATAGATAAAGACCCATCGTGTGACGCACAAGAGGAGAAAGGAACTGGTTGGAATTGTTCAAAAGGATGCTGCGTATTTTTCAAAATTTATCAAACACTGTTAGGAAGCAGAGTTGGGCATCATTAAAATGAAGTTATCCAGCAGCAATCGTTCACTCGAAGGTGAATAACCCGGTTCGAATAACCTAGCTATCTTTATTCGACATGAAACTGACAAACGGATTTATTCGACGAATAAAGACACCTGTTTTATTCGACAACATGTTCACCTTCGCTTTCGAATAACGACTCCATCTTTATCCGTATCTTTATTCGAAATTTCCGAGTAACTTGTATAAAGTACCTGTATCTCACAAGACGAATATCCGGGTTCATTCGACGCGTAATGAAAAGTTCCTTTATCTTTCGACATTTTCATCTAACCCACGAAACTTTGCCCATCTCTGTTGGAAAATTGCTCGTTGGCGCCGACTTTTCCAGCCGTTTACAAGTTTGAATAATCAATTGCCATACTCGAAGGAAGATTTCGCTCTTTAATATCCATTTCGGTCAACTAACTTGGGTGGTTTTCTTTTTTCTTTTACACGAATTCTTTCAGCTTCCGCCGCTCTACAGTATACGCAAAGTATGAAGAAATCCAAACGAATTGCGCATCGTTCTTGAGAAACGCGGCACGAATAATTCACGCATATATGTATTCGTACGCGACGAAAAAATTCTCGAAAAGCTGTTAAACAGATTCCAACCAACGCACGTTCTAACAAAACTCGCATAAAAACAATCGTGATAAGTGTTGTTGCACGCTAAAATATCTTCACACGTTTCTGTGAAATCACGGTCGCATTCGAAGTACGAAAAGTAGATGAGATACATACGCTTAAATAATTCGATACGTTTACGTGTACAGTGTTTCGCAGTTTATGAGAACGGTAATAACGTTCGTTTATAATTTATACAAGAGAAAACTGTGTGTACAAACGAATAATTTTATTCACGTCCTTGTTATAAACTCTACATTGTGGGAACGAACGTAAATTTGCGTACAGGAATTTCGTAAGATGCACTGCGCGAATAAAAGAATTTCCAAGCCCGAAAAATCATTCTTAATATCTTCGCATGATCATTGTTCGTGAACCTCTCGCAGTTGCCTACGGCGAAACTCTTGTAACAAGTGTCTTGCTTCGACCTTACGCGTTTAATAAGTCGGCGTCAAGTAAAAACATTAGGAGTTACGCTAACATTAGGAATTGTAAGTTCTTTTCTGTTCTTTTTTTTTTTTTGTCTTTTGACTCAGAAATCACTCGTTTCTCCCTGATGCGACGTATCTTACAGAACACTGCGGATCTATCACTGATATTATTAATATTCAACATCATTGCATGACTTGCTCACAGTTAGTGGAAAATATTGCTCCTTTTTAATCCGATGGTGCGTCGAGTTGTCTCTGAAGCCATGGCGGTTTTTCTTTAAAATTAAATTCTTCAGATAAAATAATATATTTCGCTGCAATGTTACATACCATTTAAAAGAGAATTTCTTGCTCTTTGCAATCACCTGTTGGTTTTTAGGCTCGATTTAAATTTTATCGAATTTTCGGCTTTGACATTGGGATAAAGCGTCAAGGACGTCGAGAGACTTTTCTCCTATAGTCGACGACTGAATTTCAAAGCTTTAAATATCAATAAAATTCAAATCGATACAAAAACTAAAAACAGTATTGCGAAGAATAAAGAATTCTCTTTGAAATGGTACACGTGGTTTATTTCATCCAATAAGTTCGAATTTGAAGAAAAACCGCCACAACTCGATATTTTATAGAAATGCGTAGAAAATAAATGGCTTCCTACGTGTAGATCTGGTTCTCATCGGTAGATGGATTTTTCAAGAGCGTTTTAACGGACACGAAGGTGTCGCGTGAATCTAAAATAATACTACTTCGCACAGTAAGTACATATATTGTCGAAAATACAACGACTGATCGGTATTTCAAAATGCCTGTTTACTCAGGAACGATCGATAGGTCTCGCAACGTAAAACATTGATTATCCCTCGTAATACCATCATCTCGAATAAATTCGTTCAAAATTCGCATCGGTATATCGTACGTTTGTATATCAGCGATGCACGCAATAATGTCAGGCAAGGCAGTGATTATAGCATATACTTTTGGGGTCATCTCACGTCGAGTCGTTTTAATCATAGTTAAAGGAAATTAGAATCGTCGATAGTCGTGAATCCACGATAAACGTTATCAACCGATAGTTCGTAAAATATTCTTGATAAAAAAAAGAAGAAGAAAAAACGTGCCCGCTCTCGGTGCTTGACTATGTAATCCAAGCGTCTTAAGCAAGTTTTAATTAAATCGTATACGCATTGCCTTCTAAGAGATAACAGTTACCTCGTTCGCTGATTACCAATGTGAAAGCGAGAACAATAACAAAGAGACGCAATATATTAACCCTTTACACTCGACGACAGTTTCATTAGAGAGAGCTAACAATTTAAACGTAAACATTCTTCTACCATGATTGAAGAGTCATGGAAATAAAATACTTTACCGCTACTTGAAAGTCTACCAATTTACAGACTAGGAACCTATTCAAGAACCAATATCGCTACGAGATTCAAGGAAATCTAAACAATGACTGTCGTTTCTCAGTCGCCTCTCGAATTGCTACGTGATACCCAGCGACGACTGAAAGTCG